CCCCAAAACCCCAAAACCCCAAAACCCCAAAACCCCAAACTTTTATAGGGAAGACACTCCAAAATAATAAAATTAAATAAATGGGTAAAAAAGAGAAGGCCAAGGACAGGCTTGATAAGTACTACATCATGGCTAAGGAACACAACTACAGATCCAGAGCAGCATTTAAGTTGATCCAGCTTAACAGGAAGTATAACTTCTTAAGCAAATCTAAGGTCCTGATCGATCTCTGTGCAGCTCCAGGAGGTTGGTTGCAAATAGCAGCGAAGTATATGCCTATTTCTTCAATAAAGATTGGTATTGATCTTGACCCAATCCCTCATGTGAAGGGATGTGTCACTTTCCAATGTGATATCACAACCCCAAAGTGTATCTCCCTCATCAAGAAGGAGATCAAGCATTTCGAAGCAGATGTAGTGCTCAATGATGGTGCTCCCAATGTCGGAGCTCAGTGGAGTAAAGATGCTTATGGACAAGCAGAGCTTGTCTTGGCAGCCTGCAAACTTGCTACACAAGTGCTCAAGAAGGGAGGTACCTTTGTCACAAAAGTATTCAGATCTAAGGATTATAATGCATTAATCTGGGCCTTCAATCATTTGTTCAAGAAAGTTGAGCCTTTCAAACCAGCTGCTTCAAGATCGAACTCAGCAGAGACCTTCCTGGTATGTCTTGAATACAAAAAGCCAGACCACATCGACCCTAAAATTCTTGACCCAAAGCATATTTTCGAAGATATTGACACTCTTGAAGAAGGTTCAAAGAAGAAGATCAACTCGTTGAAGAAGCTTCTTGAGCAAAAACACTCAAGAATCGGGTATGATGATCTCGACGGAAGCGGTGCCTTTTACAAAGAAGAAAAGCTCTCAGTCTTCATGAAGTCTCTGGAACCATACAAATTCTTAACCAAGTGCCATAGATTCGTAATCGATGAGGAATGCAAGGAAGAAATCTTCAATGTGGTGAAGCCACCAGCCTCTTTAGAGAGCATCGTTGATGATCTCAAGGTCTTGGGAAGATCTGACCTGACCCTCCTGCTTAAATATCGGTCCAAATATCTTCGTCAAGTTCAAAAGCGGAGAGCTAAAGAAAATAAAGAGAGAAAACTTGCTGAGGAAAAACCCTTAACAAAGGAAGAAATTGAGAAGGAGAATGAAGAAGCCCTTGAAAAGGCCCTTCAAGAGAAAAAGAAGCAGGCCATGAAGAAAGAGCGTAAGCAGAATGAAATCCAGAAGAAATCTGAGTACCTCCAAAAGATGTCTATCATGACCAGTGTCAACGTTATGAACAACGTAAGGTTCTTTCTGACCAATTATAGGATGACGAAATCTCATTCGATCCCAGAACTTTTGCCAAGCTCCAACAAGTAGAAAATTTAGATGAGCTTCATGACTCTGATGCTTCCAGTGAGCTAGATGAAGAACAAAAGAAAGAGCTGGCTAAGCAGCAAGAATATGAAGATATGCTTCAAGGTAATTTCTTATCTTAATAAACTCTAGATAATGAACTTGATGAGTATGACTCAGATTATGAGAAAGAAAAGACTCTTAAAATGGACGAAGAGATGGAAAACAGGATGAAAGAACATAAGGAGTACCAGCTAGACACCTCCAATCTTGATAGAGAGGAAAAAATCGTGAAGAAAAAGATCGCTAAGGGTAAAAGAAACCTTGAAATGCAGTTCGAAAACACGGCAAATTTTGAAGTTACAAAGTACAACAACAAGGATGTTCAAGAACAAGACTCAGAAGAACTTTCCAGTGACGAGGATGAACTAGCTGCCATTAAAGCCATTGAAGTCCAGAACAAGAAGCGTGTGAAGACCTCTGAGGATAATGAGTTCATTAACCCTCTGGTTGCCACCAAGAAGGACCTAAAGAGGTTTAAGAAATCCCTTGAAAATAAGGAAGTCAAAGAATCTGACGCTGAGAGCTTCGACTCCGACGTTGAAGAACTTGCTGATAAAATGGACAAGGAGAAACAAGAGGAGAAGGAAATGAAGAAAAAGAGAAACCTCAAGAAACTCCAAAAGATGGAAGAAGAAGTAGGCGCTAAAACATTTGAAGAAGTCAAAGCAGAAAAAACTTACTCTGACTATGACTCAGATGAGATTGCTGAGATCAGGGCCATCGGCAAAAGGATGCTCAGGAAGAAGGAAAGACTTGATATGATCGATGCTTCTTACAGTAGATATGCTTATAAGGAAGATCCTAGTGAATTACCAACTTGGTTCGCTGAAGAAGAGGAAAAGTTCAACAAGCCAATCCCTCCTGTGACTAAAGAGGAAATTCAGATGGAAAAGAAGTTCATGAAGGAATACAACGCTAGACCTTCAGCTAAGCTAGCTGAGTATAAGGAGAGGAAGAAGAGAAAGATGGCTAGAGCTATGCAGAAGGTCAAACAGAAGGCAAACCAGATTGCTAACTCTGACGAATTTAACGATGTTAGTAAAATGAGACAAATCAAGCGTATGTACAGTCAAGAGAAGCGTAAGCTCAATGAGCAATTCAGACAGAAGAAGGAGACTATCGTTGGGAGGACATTCTCTACTAGTGCTCCAGGAAAAACAGCTGGAAGAAAATACAAAATGGTTGATTCTAGGATGAAGAAGGACACCAGAGCCGAGAAGAGAGCTACTAAAAAGAAGAAGGGCACTGGCAAAAGAATTAAAATGAGAAAGTAGATTAAAACAATTGTGTATTAACATACCTATTTTCAAATCTGTAACATGCTTATTTTAGTAAATATCAACGATATGATATTAGAATTGATCAAGAATGACCTCTTTTCGCTCCCCCTAATATGCCTCTAAGTTTTACATTAGCTTATATTTTTAGTTATTCAAAGCAAAAAAAAAATTTGTGAAAAAGAACAAAGGGTATTTATGAATCAATCTAAGAATTTTCTACAGGATTACAGCACAATATTTTTTGCCAATATCAACCTCTTTATTCCTACACGGGGTTTTGGGGTTTTGGGGTTTTGGGGTTTTGGGG